CAAACAAAGAAGAAATCGGGAATCAGTTCCTGCCTGGTAACAGTGTAAACAAACCACTACATCCGTCAAGCAAATGTTAAAGAATTTGGACTCCTCTATGTAAATAGACGGGACAATGATGATGAAGATGTGCAGCGATATTAAGTTCCTTTAAGGGGATTCAGTTTTGCTAGATCACTCGTGGCAGTAATACGCTGAAATATACACCCAAACTCTGAAAGAAAACGAGAGAACTTGCAGACAGGACATTGGATCAGTCCCTCAGCCTGCTTGCAGTTCTCTGTTCCTATGGTTATCATTCTCTGAGCAGGTCTACAAATATGTTTATGTGCATCTCCACAGAACCATAATTCTAGCTTTAGTCTCATCAGCATTCAAAATGCTGTGTGGTTGTTATTTTATAATAAATTTAGTTCATTATGTTTCTCTCTATATATACACGCATGCATTCACACACACATACACACTCTGTATTATACAGTGTTGATACAGTCCCATGGGAAAGGATGCAAATACGCACACCTCAATTATCTTGCTCACACACACCCTGCAGTCATTAGACTTGAGAGTGTGTCATTTTGACTTGTGATTTATACACACGACTTAGTCATGATGTAATTAGTGATTAGGGGAAGTGTGTGGGTGGTGTGTGTGTTTGCAGCCTGACTCATGTGAGTTTTAATCCTCAGTGTTTCCCATGTTGAGCTTTCAATACTTATTCCGAGTGTGTGCATCTCCTGCTCTGGAGAACTGACCACAGTGCATGTTGGGAAAGAAAGGGAGGGTGAAGATTCTTAATAAATTTCTCATATTCTGTAACAAAAACTCATCCCCCACTCTCAAGACTCTGCCTTTCCCAAGAACATGCATAGGCTTTTCATGAACAGTTTTAAGATGAATCTTTCAGTTTTAGTATAAAGTCAGAATTGTGGGATGAATAATGCAGACATTATTATCAAATCCAAACATCAATAGTCAATAAAATGATGAAAAGGGTCAGGGATTTTGAGGTTAGCTACAACATCTTGTTCATGTTTGTCTATGTAATTGTATTTTTGTCCACTTCTTTTTTTAACCTCTCAAATGTATTCTCTCTCTCTCTCTCTCTCAATCTTCTCTTATCTCTTCTTCTTCATCGATCTCTCTCGTCTCTCTCATCTCTCTCTCTCTCTCTCTCTCTCTCTCACTCTCTCTCTCCATCTCTCTCTCTCTCTCATCTTCTTCTCTCTCTCTCTCTCTCTCTGTGTGTCAAGAGGTATGATCTCAGCGATAGTAAACAGTTCCTACTACGCCAACGTCTCCACCTCCAAATGCCAGGAGTTTGGACGCTGGTACAAGAGATACAAACGAATCAAAGGTAACTCTTAACCTCACTCTCACCCTTTCCTTGGATGAAAACGACTTTATTCAGAACTTTATGGCACAAAGTGAATCAGTAATGTTTTGCCTTTGCCCTTGAGCAAGGCACTGTGTTCCCAAGATGGATCTGTTCCAGTTTCCTTGTGCCACACAGATTCCGTCGGGAATAAAACAGCATGCAAAGACTAACCAGACTACACTGTAACTCAGTAACATACCGTATTCAGCTGAAGACAGAAATGTCAGAAATGAGACTGATCTCTCAAAATGTGAGCAGATAAGAAAAAAGTCTAGACACCACTGGAGACAAGTGGAAAAATAAATTTTTGTAATTTGGGTGATCCCCTAAATTGAATCTTACATTGATCTTTCTGCACAAAGTGGAAATTTGGGGATTTGGGATTACGTAATGTGATCACAAAAGATAAGTAACTATCAACCCAGATTACTTTTGAAATACATGTATTTATAATTAGATTATAGTATACATTTTGTATAATACATCTTTAAAATATGTCAGTTTTAAAACATTTTTATGAGAAGCGGAGCTCTATTAACAATCTGGACTTTTCATGTTAAATAAAAGTCTTCAGATAGATGTCTCTATTGTAATCTATTGCTGTTTTATTGTAATCAGACTATGGTGGCGCATATAAACACTGTCTGTCACAGGTGTTGCTTCACTTGTGTGGTAGCTGTATAATGTTCATTAGGTGTTCTGTCAGTGTCTATCTGAGCTGGTGTAGTTTGCTGGCACGTGTTTCCTTGGTAAATTCTCCCGCCTTGTTAAAAACTTTTTACAGTTTTAGTGACCAACTCTCCTGCACCTCAACTGTTCAGCTGTTTATACTTTATTTGCCTCATGTTGCTTTATAATAGTCATAAAGGTGGAGACTGTCAGAGCTCTTTTTTTCAAACTGACACTCACTGCTAATCACAACTCAACTTAATATGACTCACCTGCCTGGCGCCTTTGTTTTTGTGATGTAGTTGCTTTAAATGTGATCCCTTCTAATGAAGTTTTTCCGTTCTTCTGTCCACCCCCTGTATGTGTACGAGCACATGTGTCAGACTGTATGTCTAATCTGCTGTCAGTGACAGCTCTCAGTAGGAAGGAACTGTCACACATGGTTTGCATTAATGTCACCCTTAATACACATGACAAAACTAAATGCTCTTAACTCCTAATGGGAAACAGCAGCAACCCCCCAACACACACACGCGTGCCACCAAAACCCAGAAATAAGCGCTCTACTTACACGCACACGCACGCACACACACACACAACAGACACACTGGGAAGGTTAAAAATCTGAAGCCCTTGCAAACCCTTCACTCCAACTTTT